TCACATGATTAAATTTAATAAAACTAAAATTTACATTATATCTCACATATTTAATATGAGAACGTTTTCATTTTTTGTTTTCCCAAACTAAAAATAAATAAATAATAAATTTTAGGGATTATAAAAAGTTTTTTGAATAAATAAACTTTTTTTTTTTTGTTAAAGTAAAGTAACCAAATAAAATTTTAACTTTTAAGTAATAATATCTAATAGTACAAACTAAAATTAAGATTGGCATGAGTTACTATACATCTACTTTTAATAATATCACCAAACTATTATTTATGAGCCTAATCTAAGTTGGAGGATAGTTCTGGTCACGTGGCAACATTCATGCGCCCTGGCAGCCACATGGGCGTCACAGAGGAGAGTAACTGGAAAGGTAACAAGAGTTGGCAGAGCTCCAATTATATACAAGCCTTTTTCTCACTGGGACTGGGTGGTCCTGCTCCAATTAACGTGCTGCTCTTAAGTCAGCCGCACGTTTTCCCCCCAGGCACAAACTTTAACTGATCGTAACGGGACAACGGCCAGCGGTCATCCCCTTCCAGGCTTCCACCTCAACCCGCCACGTGGGCCCCACTTAATTTGTGGCCCAGATTCGCTCTCGCCATTCACGGTCACTGCTTTCTTTATTTCTAGGTAGAATATTGGCATCAATGATTCAATATACCTATTACTCATTAAATATTTTATTTATTTGGATAAATATTTGTTTCCCTAAAATTTCTTTAATGGTTTCACACTTGTGAAATCTAGATAAGAAATGAACACTTTTTCAAGGATTTTCTCATTTTTTATGGTCAACCTCTTTGTAGATGGTGAAAAAAACATTGGATTAAAATTGAAATTTGTGTTTACAGATGACTTACAAGAGGGAGGGATACCTTCTTGCAGAATAGATTACGAAATATATTTTGAGCAACTCCAATGATTTAAACATTACCGTGACTTAAAATTAATAAATCCTAATTAAACTAAATAGTATGCAATTTAAAGTAAATTTACGAGAACAAGATATACTCAAATTAAATTAAACATGTTCATTTTTAAATTAAAATGTTATCTACTAACAAATCTAGAAATTAAACAATTGTAGAATTGGAAAAGTAACCCTAATTAACATTAAAATTAAACATGAACGGTGAATAAATTAACCTGCTTGAAATTAAGAAGAAGTGTGAACGTCATATAAGTAATCATTGAAGAAATGTTACTTATCACAAACATTAAATTAATTACAGACAGAAAAGAAATAGTACCTTGAAAAACTTGAAAGATTGAAGTTCATTGCATGAAACAAAATTGTTGAAGCGAATACATGAATTAGTTTATCTACTGGAATGATGAAAAACAACCTAGATCTACTGAAAATTGTGCTGAAATCCGAAATCTAGAAGCAATTACAGAGAAAATAAAGTCTGAAAATTTGCAAATATTTACGTATGGCAAGCTGTGTCTTTTCCCTTCCAAAATTTTCCTTTTTGTTTTCCTTTTTGTTCTCCTTTTGCTGGCTGTAACCTCCATTTTTTACAGTTATTTTCCTTTTTGTTCTCCTTTTATTGGCTGTAACCTCCATTTTTTGCAGTTACAACATTGTAGGTGGTTTCCTAAAGTAATGGAACAACTTAACAATTAACTTGGTTAGAACTCCCTCTAGATTTTCGCCGCATATACTCTTATCAGATAAAACCCTTCTTTAACTGCAATCTCTTCCTATATTTGAGCTCAAACAGTCCCTTTTTACTCCAAAGAGATAATTACAAAGTAAAATCTCATCTTTTTCTCTTTTTTTTTTCCCCAAAATGACAGCTGATCTATTATGAAGCCCACAATAATAGATTTGACATAGCTTAATCTTTTCCATCCATTTAAAAATTTACACGTGGCATTATTTTAAAATTTTGCAATTTATGGTGTAAACAATATTATATTTAAATTATAAAAAAATAAATAAATAATAGATAAAAAGATAATATGTTTGTAAATATTATATCAAGTAATAGATATAAGTATTTAGAGTTATTTATCCAATTTATTTAATAGACTTATTTAATTTATTTATTA